AATAATAAAAGAATTAAAGGTTGAAAAGACATATGAAGTAAAAATTAGAACGAAATAAAATTGAATGGTAAGACAAAGGAGAGAAAGAAAGAAAAAAAAAATACATTGGAAAATGAAAGAAGGAAGCTGGTGACCCTTCTTTAGGTGAAGTTAGGTGGATAGGTAGATAGATGAATGAATAGATACAGTACCTTGAGGCACTAATTGAAAGGACCAAAACGCAGTGCCCACAAGTCCAAATCCGTTTTCCAATATAAAAAAATATCCAGGAACACCATCACCGTTGTTGGCATTTCCTTTACTCATTGTGGGCGTGGTAGATGTAACAGCGCTACAATTGAGATGACGAAAGAGACGTTCTAGTCAAAAAATTTTTTTATTTTTTAATCAAATTAGGCATTTCACAATAGGCGTGGAATGAAAGGGGAAGATACGGAAACAATCGGATCAAAATACCAATCTCGGATTTACTGACAGGAGAAAAAGGTTTTGGGGGAAGTCACAAAGGGATGCACTTTTTCGATCTAAGAAAAAAAATTGTCCGATGATACATCTTGTGCGCTTCCAAGATTAACTAATTCTGTACTTTTGGGGACTACAGATGGCGCACACATTTTGGAAAACACATGAAATACACGCATTCGAGTTTTATTCGTATGACCGCAAGTGAATGTGCGCATGTACACTACCCGTATATTAACGATCGACTTTAAGAGATGATTTTTTAAAAAGACCGAATATCTGAATCATCAGTATGGTACGCGCGTATGTACATTATATATTGAATACATCCTGCATGTATGCTATTAAATCCTCTGACATTCTAAATTCCTCATTTGGTTTATTACCGAGAGCGTGAGGTGGTTGACTAACTTGATCTGCTCGATTTGCGGATTAGCGTACGTATTGCGCGCACACACACTCTCATAATTTAATAAAACTTTAAATGGCCAAAGGGAGGACATCCATCTGTTCACGATATCTCTTTAATACAGTATATGCGGTGGATTATTGGCATAAATGAAAGACCGAGAGTATTGTGTCGCGTCAGGGTATGGTGTGAAGTGGGTGGAAAATTGAAACTGGAATTTAGAATTACACCGTAGTAACCTTTGAAAAACAATCGTAATAACGTTATCATAACAATAGTAATGCTGTGACCATGAAGTTATACCGTTTCCCGTCATGGATCTCCGCTTCACAACCCAAATACTTTATCCAGTTGCCTTTGAAATAAATTTCCCACATCTTATTTTACGATTGTTCTCTAATGGGTTGTTGTCCATGAGATTGCGACGCAATGCTTGGCGAACACGAACCAAAACGAAACGCATGTGCACACAAAATTTCCTCAATCGATCACACGGAATTGGTTGAATTCATTGTTTTGCACGCATCGTTGAACTCCGACGATTAGGATAAGCACGAGACGATTCTCAGAAGAGGACTTCCAAAGTTCGGATTGGTCTAAATCAATTGGATGGGATACCCAAGCGGACCTCTTCGGTAGGTCGCGTAACGGAATGTTCCTTTTTTTTTTTTTTCCTGGAAACTGATTCACAGTTTGTTTGAGTGTGTACCACGTAGCAAACATTGATTGATATTTGGTGCGTCTATACAGTAATTAGGAATCAAGCACCGAAATTTATTCTGTTGTTCATCCTTTCATTCCACCTAACCAAATTTGGAATGCACAGGATCTGAGAATGCCCTTGTTTTTTTTTTTCGAACTTTCGGCTCGAAATTGGGCGCACGCATTGAGTGTCATCCATCAATCAATCCTGTCGTCATCGTGTCCGCCCAGATTAGTGGAAGAGGCTATTCTAATTTCGTACGGTCTACCACCCAATACATAGAGGCTATTCTAATTTCGTACGGTCTACCACCCAATACATAGAGGCTATTTTAATTTCGTACGGTCTACCACCCAATACATAGAGGCTATTCTAATTTCGTACGGTCTACCACCCAATACATAGAGGCTATTCTAATTTCGTACGGTCTACCACCCAATACATA